ACCCATCACTGCGAGGGTCTGAGCAGCCTCAAACACATGCCCATCTTCATCCTCCAAAACCATGGAGGTTCTCCTCTCCGCCCTGTGCTATTCAAAAAGGGTGGGACGGACGGTACTTGCTCCTAGATGAGAGATGAATTTATTTTTCTCCTTTTAAACAAACATACACGCCTGCTGTAGACAAAAATGTTCCTTTGCAGCAGAAACAGGCTACAGCATGGTGAGAGCGGGTGCCTCCTTCTAGGCTGTACAGCTCTTGAGATACAGTGAAAACAGAGTTCTTGACAAACTGAATCCAACGAGATGCTGTGTTACAGCTATTGCTGGTATTTCCTCTCTCTCAGGTTAGCTCGCTGCTACTAAGACCATACGTGACAGTTGGGTCCTGCACCCAGCAAAAAGGCAGGCATTCCCCCTGCCACGCATCTCCTGTGCCTTGTCCTCTTCCATTCGGCTGTCGAAGGGTTGCAGGCAAGGAAAGGTCAAATTTCAGAGAGGGAATCCATTCGGCAGAGAGCTTTGAACACAGAGAGCTAGCCCCCTAACTTCGGTTATCAACGATTAAATCCTTGGCCTTGGATAAGAAGAGTTAGGCAGGGTCGGTACAAGTGTTTTCATCTCTACCGATGCCATGGGAAGAAAAAAGCCACCTTCCCAATTTTTGCAATATCTTCTGCCCATTCAAGTCTTGAAATAAGTGACGGCAGAAAGGGCAGATAACATCTAGTGTACACTGTGTGTTCTCTGTTATACCTGTGGATTGCATATATATATATGGGAGTATTCTTTGGCAGATGAGAGATGCCGGGGATTTAGTACTGGTACAACTGCCGGGACGGGTTTTGTAACATCTTTGGTGCAGCTGCAAAGTCCCCCTTCTTACCTTTTGGTGATGCTCTCCAAAAATCGCCCTGAAATGGAGGTATCCGTTTCTCACGAGACTCTGCCATTAAGTGAACGATAAATTTAAACGAGGACCCAGCTGCGCGCAGTGGTGATCACATGATGTCCAAACTGGAACACTGACAACCGAAACGACGGCTGCACGATCAGCACGGTTAGGAGGGAATAAACACACAAGCAGCATCGCCTCATCTTCAGGACAAGCTTTATTAGCGTTTTGCTTTAACGAACATCGTAGTATGAAGGCATCGGTTCTTTACGTTTTCCAACGCATGGCACAGACAAAAGGAAGAATGACAGACTGGGAGGCAAATTCAGCATGTAAATGATAGAGTTAACAGAAGCGGCACAAAGTTAACCGGTATAGCTGCTAGACCATCTATTAGAAGACATTTCGCAAGCAACAGTCTACATTTCTTTGCACTGAAGTAAAAACAGATTTTTGGATCAAGAAAATTACCTTTTTTTAATTTTTAGAATTTTTTATCTTTTTAAAACTTTTCTTTGTATCACAAATGTCAGGGTAAGGCAAATCCTGGATGAATCATATGATAAAAACCCCTATTCCCCGAGAAAATAGATCCACATACTCTGTTAATTTTGTCATTTTAAAAGCAAAGCCAGCATGCACTGCATATAGAGAAAAGTATCTTTTTTTTTTTATATATATATTTTTATTCAAGTGCCTAAAGCAGAACAGTGTTAATTCACAGAGAGGCTTTCTCAGTGCTTTATAGAAAGATTGACAATTAGCTGCGGCGAACGTGTGACCCACTATTACAGACTATGTCTCAAACATCCCCTTTGGATATCTGTATGGAAGGAAACCCATTCGTCATCGGAGCACTCACCAGCCCGAGGAATATTGTGCCTAGCAGTAGGGATGAGCGCTTTCAGACACAGGAGAAACAACGATCAAGCAGAGCCTGATACTTTGTGTGCAAGCATCAGCACCCAAGGCCTGCTATTCCCTTTACGTCACCTACTGCAAACACATTTCAGGTTTAAACCAAAATCCTTGACATAAAGCCCTGTGGGGTGATTCTCGGTCTGATGCTTGCTCTTCTACAAAACCAGCTCCCCGCATTTCTGCAGCTCCAGCAAGAGCG